CTTAAGTACTTTCGTATATTAATACATCTTAAGTGGTTTTACAGGTTGAGTACTGGACATAAATAGGCAGAAGAGAATGGTGGAGTGAGGTGAGGTACAATAAGTTATTATTATTAACATCTTTATTGACAAAATTAATTACAATTTTGCCTAATCTGAGGATTTTGATAGTCTTATTAAATTGAGGTTAATGCTAGTATTCACTGTCACGCAGGACAGAGGGTCATACATAAGACAATAGGTCTAAACTGTAGGCTGAAGCACATATATATCACGGTTACAATCAATGTTTTAATGTGTGGATATGTGAAAACAACTTTCTATTGTGCACTGCCACACAAGGGCTGGGATGGGTTCATAAGTGATGCAGCTTAGAATATAAATAGAAATTGTTCTTCATTCTTTAAAATGGACAAGCAAATTTTGGGTAAATTGTTAGGATGTCGTCCAGAACACCTGAGTCAATAAAATAGTTACACAGTTGGTGGTACAATAGGCCAGGAGGTCTAAAGTCCTTTACGGTTTCACATTCATCAATATAGTGTTCTAGTGAATGCATTAAAGGTTTATCACAGAGTTTACAATCTGAATATTCTGGAAGTGGCTCAGCCTCACTAACCTGCCAGATATGTCTATAGCCAAGGCGAATTCGCGCAATTACTACATCACATTGCCTGGTCCGGTTACTGTGCTGACCATACAAATACCTATTATTACAGAACTTGTCATAACTTTTAATACTGCAGCTTTCAGGTCTCTGTGCATTTCTTAGTTCTTCTAAATCTGAATTAATTTCTTTAATTTGTATGTTTCTAATAACTGCATTAGATAGTCCAAAGTCATAATCAATGTTTTCTTTCCTGCAAGCCTCATTGGCCAATTGATCTACAAAGTCATGTTTTTCAACTCCAACATGGGATGGGATCCACACAAATTTTATACAAGAATTATTATCATTGGCAAAAATTACATTCCATTTAATATTACAAGCTACTTCCGACATACATTGTGATGGGTTATTTAAGGACTGCAGAGCACTTTTAGAGTCACAGAAAATAACTCCACCACCATTGAGCTTAAGGTATTCAGTGGCTAGATAAATACCCAATAGCTCGGTCTGTGTCGTGCTTGCCCAATTGTTCAATCTCTGTGTACTAGTCATGATCATTTCATTCCCTTTATACACTGCACATGCACAACCTGTTCTACCAGTGCCTAACTGCACAGAGCCATCAGTAAAGGCATAGGATTCAGTCGGTTTGAGAATTTGAAGACGACTGTCAATAGCTTCTAATGTTATACATCTCAAAATGTCAGTGTTATACATTTGTTTTACACTAATGGGAGTATAATGCAGTGAGACCTCCACATCTTTCCAAGGGGGAATATAGTGAACAGTTTTATCAGGGTTAAGAGATACATTCAGTTTCTGAAGATTATAGACACAACAACTGAGCCACACACTGTAGGGAGCTTTTTGCGGCGGATTGAGGGAACAGTCAGAATTGTTTAGAATGGATCTCAATTTAATTTGAATAGAGCTGGGGGGACCATTATTTTTCAAAGTTTTGGCGCAAAACATAGTACTAAGTAGAACTATTCTTTCGTAAATGGAAGGTAAGTTTAGTTCCTTTCTCATGTTAACAATTCTGACAGTTCTAGGACAACCCAGGATGATGCGCATGGCATCATTCTGTACTACATCTAGGCCTTGTAATTGTTTAGGAGAAAAATTAAGAAGATGCAAGGCATAATAATCAACAACAGATCGTATAAAGGCAATATAAAAACTACGAGCATATTTTATGTTAATGCCAAATCCTTTGCCAACAAGAGTTCTGAGAGGTTTAAGACGCTCAACAAGTTTTTTACGCAGGTTGCTGATGAGATTTGTATCATTAACCTCGACTCCAAGATATTTATAAGACTCACAAGTCTCCACGGGCACTCCATTAATAGTATAGTTAGCATGAAGAGAATGGGGAATAAGAACCCTTGTTTTATCAACAGAGATTATGAGGCCACATTCTACTACTTTCTTGGAGAATGCATCAAGTAACATTTGTAGCCTTGGTTTACTGTGTGCCATAATACAAATATCATCAGCATAACATATAAGTGTTTCCGTAGGTTGTACAGGTATGTCATGGATAAGTTTGTGCATAAGTATATTGAAGAGCATAGGGCTTAGGACACCACCTTGAGGTGTGCCTAGTTCGAATGCATCTGTTCTTGTACTTTTAACTCCTTTAAATAGGACACTAGCACGCCTGTTGGATAGGTAGCTCTTTATCCAACTCAGAAGATTACCTTTGATTCCAAATTCAGCAAGTTGCTCTAATATTATTTCGCCATTCGCTACATCGAAAGCTGACTTAAGGTCAATAAAGGCTGCCTGTGTCCCATCCTGGGAGTTTACAAAATATTCAGCAAAGCATGTTTGTGTGCTACACTTGGGCATGAACCCATATAGGTTTGGGGCCAGTTTTTCTTTGACCTGAAACATGACACGATTGAGAACAATTCTCTCCAAGACTTTACACATGCAAGATGTAAGGGAAATGGGTCTGAATTTTTGAGAGTTAGGTTTATGAATTGGTATTATGAGACTTTGTGTCCATTTCTTTGGCAAGATACCTTGTGAGAGACTCATTTGATAGAGGTCAAGCAGAGGGTGGCTAGGGACATCATTCAGTAAGCTCAAGATGTTATAAGTTATACCATCCTCACCAGGGGCAGTTTGCTTAGGTTTTCCTAATGCTGATGTTAATTCAAAGGGGGTTATAGGAAACTGATCCGTTAAATCTGGTGAGGAGCGTGCTATTTCAATATTAAAGTTTCTGTTAATGTTGGTATGTCTTAAATGCTGCTGTATATCTGGGGGTAAGGAAGAAATTTGTGAGACACTAGACCATTGAGCTAGGAGCATGTCAGCATATTCTGCAGGAGTATGATGAAGCTGAACTGGGGCTGAAGGTTTGGTAATGTTTTTAATTTTGTTCCACATTTCTGATAATGTTGTAGTTCTATTGATACCTTGTAGGAATTGTTCCCAATATGTGTTCTTAACTTGACCCTTAAGCTCGCGAAAATCTCTGTTGGCATTAAGGAATGCAAGTAAATTGTCAGGTGTTTTGTCTCGTTTATAAGAGTCAGCAAGCTGAAGCACTTTAGCTCGCTCTGCAATAATAATAGGATCCTCTGTCCATGAGGAAGAACGAGTGTTCTTTTTTTTCCTTGATTTAACCCAGGTATCATAATAACTGGTAATGATACTGACAAGATCATTGTAAAAGTGGTCCACTGATACAGGTGTATACCCAGTGTACCACTTATGTACATAAGCCTTAAAGTGCTGTTTAAGATTGTCTGGAATGTTAATTTTAACTCTAGGATGAGGATTGGACCTAATATCCGCCACATTGTATTCACAATATATTGCAAAATGATCACTTACTAGTTCTGGGATGAGCTTAACGTTGACGTTGCTATCTACTAGGCTGTATCCAATCACATAATCCAGTCTACCCCCCAATAAATGGGTCTGTTTATCAGTATCATACACAGTAATATTATGATCATTAAGGTATTTCAAGAAGACCCTTCCATTATTGTTACACTGAACGTCACCAAGAGCAGTGTGACGAGCATTAAAGTCACCCATACATAACATAGCTGTGTTACCTGTAGGTTTCGGTAGCAGGTCTGCTTTAAGTACATTACATCGTCCATATATGTTATACAGTAGGAAATGGCTATTTGCAGTTTGCAATTTGAATTTTTGATAATGTATACTATCACTCCTATGATTTTTAATTAGTTTACAGATTAATCCACTCTTAATATACGTTAGTAAACCAGTTCCAATACTGTTGTTGTATGCTATATACCCAGGTATCCTGGGTGGGACCTTCTTGATAGTTGTGGACGTATATGGTTCCTGTAAACAGATCACATCTACGTCTCTCATTTTAGCATACAAGATTACGTTATTTATCCGAAGATAAACACTTCGAATATTCCAAGAAAGAAACTTAATTGTTTTTGTTTGATGAGCCATGGTTAAGTGTCAAGGGAATTAAGGTAACATTTAAGTTCGTAAAACACTTGGAGAACATAAGTAATTTTGTTCCGTGTGTCCTGAGTACTTTTGTTTAGGAGGCGTTTAACCTGAGTAGGAGTTGGTGTTCTCCTAAAGTCTTTATGTTTAAGCAAATCAAGGGTGTCTTGACGATCTAGTTGGGGTGCCAGTGAGGGATCAATGACTACTCTAACACCATTCCCCACGGGGATTTGACACTCACGTTCCGTAGAGACAGGTGAAGTAGCCTCAGCAGCTGCAACATTACCACTCGCATCACTACTGGTGCTGGGAGAATTTACTTGATCACTATCACTAGCATGATTCACTTCACTATCACCGGGCAGATTCATCACTAATGTTTGTATTTTAGCTTCCAATTCCATAATTTTATTTTTTAACCAGTTAATTTCTTCTGTATCTTTGCTTGTTTGCCTTAGCCCATCGAGGGTTGGAAACTGCTTACTAGAGGTGACATTAGGAGCTTCCAGCTGGGTGCCTCCTGCAGCTGGACCAGACGCCTCTGGCGTCCTGCTCATGGTAGAGAGGGCGGGGCGTCGAGGGCAGCCACGATGCCAAACATCTACACTTTGACGCATACACCTGGGACACTTCCGGACCAGAGGAGAGGCTTCCTCCCCATCCTCAAGGGTAGGGGGGTCCCTTTGAGGACACTCCCTTGTTTGGTGCTGTTCAGCACAGAGCCCACACACAGGGTCATGTTGACAGTACCTAGAGATATGATGAGTACCATGGCACTTATAACAAACAACAGGGGGGGATACCCAAGGTTTTATAGGACTTGATGGGATGAAATGTCCAAAAAAGGTGTAATGTTTAGGGGGAGGGTCACTGCCATTCCAAACAATGATGATCCTGTTGAGAGGTTGACCATCCTTGTGTATCCGTCTTGCCTTGTAGACCCCGTCAAGGTTATAAGCTCTATCAAGAGGATACTCTTTGGGAAAACTGGTAACAATATATTCCTTAAGTTTTTTAGGTCGATTGATGATGTCTTCTCTGGTGAAAACAATATTAGCAATCTCACCTTTAACCAGTTGAGTGATGATATTTTCCTGCTTACGTGACACAAAGATGTAAGGGGATGTTGTCTAGGTCGGACTATATCGAGGAGTGTTTTGGAGAACCTAGTAGAAAGTTGTTCGAACCATTTAAGTTTATCGTTGGTGGATGTTCCAGCTGGGAATGCCAGGCGCACATAGTCAGCGCGGGGAGCAATAGGAGGCTTGGGTGGGCGGGCCCCTGGCTGGGTGAGCCCACCACCGCCCACCTCCACCGTCTTCACACGGGTTCCGGTGTTTCTGTCATCATTGCCAATGTCCTCATCGCCGTCAGCAGAGTCTGCAAGTTTAGACTTTCTTCTCGCATTCCGTGATCGTTGCACCTGCCACTCATTTCCGTTATCCAGATCAGCATCGGGTTCCATGTCATCGGGTGACTGCAACCCACTTCGAGCATCAACATATTCCTCGGCGGCGGGCTCAGGATCCATTGCTTGGAGATCACTTGGATTAGCAAGCACAACAGAAGATAGGGTGGTACTGAGCCCGGTTGCCATAACAACGGGCCAGGAGGCGCAGCACAGGGTAGCTGCCCAGGGCTCCACCACTCGCCCAGGCTAGGACACTGTCACCCACCTCATGTAAACACACCACCAGTCGCGCGCACAAACCACGACCCTGGGAAGGAGGGCCCAAGGACTATTTTACACACGAGGGGAGCGTGGGGCCAGGTACACCACAAGGCGGCCCAGTGCCGTCCCACTGTACCTCTGGGTAGACTCCAGATACCGCCTCACAAATAATGTCTGCATGAAGTTCTATACAATCCAGCTATCCACAACCTACAACAGTTGGTAGTAAAGGTGTCGCACACTTAGTACCGCTGCACCTGAACGATTGGGCACGCTAAAGGCTCAATGTTAGGACTAGGCCTGTGTTAAACCGGACGAGGGGCACATCCTGACCAGCCAGTCCCGAGGCTACGGGAGAACTCAACGCTCGCAACAACAACAAGAGAAGTATGGGTGGGTGGGTGAAGTTGTGGGTAAGCCTCAGGAGAGCGGTGCCAGGCTACACCATTTCAGGCTACAGTCACTGGACCACCCGCTCCCTGGGCTACTCCCCCCTCCCCCCCTCCCCCCTGGTCACTGGTCCACCTGTGGCCTGAGTTGACATTCGTGTTGGTCCCTGCCAATTAGGCCTCTTGCTGCAGTGCCAGTTCCATGCATGGTGGGATTGCTGGCAATTGACACATTTGGGTGTTACAGCGTCATTAGCACTAAGCTTATCCAGGCATAGTTTAGTGTCGTGAAAGCCACTATAACACCCACATCTAGTTCTCTGGTCACACTGCCAGGTTCTGTGGTCCCACCGTTGACAGTTGCCACATAAGGATGGGCTGCCAATATATCGTTCCACTCTACAACGCCTTATGCCTGGTAATGCAATAAGAGGGGGCAGTTCTCCCTCCCACATAGCGATTGCTTTCATTTTTTGGCACTCCCTCAGGTCCCGTGTTGTGCTTGACCCAGATGATCTGGGGAAGATCATTAATGTACTCAATAAGAGCGTGGATATTGTAGTTCTTAATTATAATTTTGGTCCGTTTATTCTGCGAGTTTACTTCCAACAGTTTAAACCTTTTTTTACTTTCATTGTTATTGTTTGTGAAGAACTGGAAGGCTCTGGCCCCAAACACCGGCAAGACGACATTGCTTATATATTAATATACGAAAGTACTTAAGGAAATTCCTGTTTCAACTTTCCTCCGTGGTCTGACACTTATTTTATTTTCTATCTCTCTCTATCTATATATCTATCTTATATATATATATATATATATATATATATATATATATATAAACTGAAAACTCACACCCCAAAAGTGACTCGAACCCATACTCCCAGAAGCAACACAACTGGTATGTACAAGACGCCTTAATCCACTTGACCATCACGACCGGACATAATGAGGTGATAGCCGAGGCTATTTGAACCACCCCACCGCCGGCACTCGGATAGTGTGTTCCTCACGTGTGCCCCAAAGAATGAGGTGATTTGGTAAAATGCTATGCCCAAGATTACTATCCGAGTGCCGGCGGTGGGGTGGTTCAAATAGCCTCGGCTATCACCTCATTATGTCCGGTCGTGATGGTCAAGTGGATTAAGGCGTCTTGTACATACCAGTTGCGTTGCTTCTGGAGTATGGGTTCGAGTCACTTTGGGGTGTGATTATTCAGTTATATATATATATATATATATATATATATATATATATATATATATATATATATATATATATATATTTATTATTATTAACATCTTTATTGACAAAATTAATTACAATTTTGCCTAATCTGAGGATTTTGATAGTCTTATTAAATTGAGGTTAATGCTAGTATTCACTGTCACGCAGGACAGAGGGTCATACATAAGACAATAGGTCTAAACTGTAGGCTGAAGCACATATATATCACGGTTACAATCAATGTTTTAATGTGTGGATATGTGAAAACAACTTTCTATTGTGCACTGCCACACAAGGGCAGGGATGGGTTCATAAGTGATGCAGCTTAGAATATAAATAGAAATTGTTCTTCATTCTTTAAAATGGACAAGCAAATTTTGGGTAAATTGTTAGGATGTCGTCCAGAACACCTGAGTCAATAAAATAGTTACACAGTTGGTGGTACAATAGGCCAGGAGGTCTAAAGTCCTTTACGGTTTCACATTCATCAATATAGTGTTCTAGTGAATGCATTAAAGGTTTATCACAGAGTTTACAATCTGAATATTCTGGTAGTGGCTCAGCCTCACTAACCTGCCAGATGTGTCTATAGCCAAGGCGAATTCGCGCAATTACTACATCACATTGCCTGGTCCGGTTACTGTGCTGACCATACAAATACCTATTATTACAGAACTTGTCATAACTTTTAATACTGCAGCTTTCAGGTCTCTGTGCATTTCTTAGTTCTTCTAAATCTGAATTAATTTCTTTAATTTGTATGTTTCTAATAACTGCATTAGATAGTCCAAAGTCATAATCAATGTTTTCTTTCCTGCAAGCCTCATTGGCCAATTGATCTACAAAGTCATGTTTTTCAACTCCAACATGGGATGGGATCCACACAAATTTTATACAAGAATTATTATCATTGGCAAAAATTACATTCCATTTAATATTACAAGCTACTTCCGACATACATTGTGATGGGTTATTTAAGGACTGCAGAGCACTTTTAGAGTCACAGAAAATAACTCCACCACCATTGAGCTTAAGGTATTCAGTGGCTAGATAAATACCCAATAGCTCGGTCTGTGTCGTGCTTGCCCAGTTGTTCAATCTCTGTGTACTAGTCATGATCATTTCATTCCCTTTATACACTGCACATGCACAACCTGTTCTACCAGTGCCTAACTGCACAGAGCCATCAGTAAAGGCATAGGATTCAGTCGGTTTGAGAATTTGAAGATGACTGTCAATAGCTTCTAATGTTATACATCTCAAAATGTCAGTGTTATACATTTGTTTTACACTGATGGGAGTATAATGCAGAGAGACCTCCACATCTTTCCAAGGGGGAATATAGTGAACAGTTTTATCAGGGTTAAGAGATACATTCAGTTTCTGAAGATTATAGGCACAACAACTGAGCCACACACTGTAGGGAGCTTTTTGCGGCGGATTGAGGGAACAGTCAGAATTGTTTAGAATGGATCTCAATTTAATTTGAATAGAGCTGGGGGGACCATTATTTTTCAAAGTTTTGGCGCAAAACATAGTACTAAGTAGAACTATTCTTTCGTAAATGGAAGGTAAGTTTAGTTCCTTTCTCATGTTAACAATTCTGACAGTTCTAGGACAACCCAGGATGATGCGCATGGCATCATTCTGTACTACATCTAGGCCTTGTAATTGTTTAGGAGAAAAATTAAGAAGATGCAAGGCATAATAATCAACAACAGATCGTATAAAGGCAATATAAAAACTACGAGCATATTTTATGTTAATGCCAAATCCTTTGCCAACAAGAGTTCTGAGAGGTTTAAGACGCTCAACAAGTTTTTTACGCAGGTTGCTGATGAGATTTGTATCATTAACCTCGACTCCAAGATATTTATAAGACTCACAAGTCTCCACGGGCACTCCATTAATAGTATAGTTAGCATGAAGAGAATGGGGAATAAGAACCCTTGTTTTATCAACAGAGATTATGAGGCCACATTCTACTACTTTCTTGGAGAATGCATCAAGTAACATTTGTAGCCTTGGTTTACTGTGTGCCATAATACAAATATCATCAGCATAACATATAACTGTTTCCGTAGGTTGTACAGGTATGTCATGGATAAGTTTGTGCATAAGTATATTGAAGAGCATAGGGCTTAGGACACCACCTTGAGGTGTGCCTAGTTCGAATGCATCTGTTCTTGTACTTTTAACTCCTTTAAATAGGACACTAGCACGCCTGTTGGATAGGTAGCTCTTTATCCAACTCAGAAGATTACCTTTGATTCCAAATTCAGCAAGTTGCTCTAATATTATTTCGCCATTCGCTACATCGAAAGCTGACTTTAGGTCAATAAAGGCTGCCTGTGTCCCATCCTGGGAGTTTACAAAATATTCAGCAAAGCATGTTTGTGTGCTACACTTGGGCATGAACCCATATAGGTTTGGGGCCAGTTTTTCTTTGACCTGAAACATGACACGATTGAGAACAATTCTCTCCAAGACTTTACACATGCAAGATGTAAGGGAAATGGGTCTGAATTTTTGAGAGTTAGGTTTAGGAATTGGTATTATGAGACTTTGTGTCCATTTCTTTGGCAAGATACCTTGTGAGAGACTCATTTGATAGAGGTCAAGCAGAGGGTGGCTAGGGACATCATTCAGTAAGCTCAAGATGTTATAAGTTATACCATCCTCACCAGGGGCAGTTTGCTTAGGTTTTCCTAATGCTGATGTTAATTCAAAGGGGGTTATAGGAAACTGATCCGTTAAATCTGGTGAGGAGCGTGCTATTTCAATATTAAAGTTTCTGTTAATGTTGGTATGTCTTAAATGCTGCTGTATATCTGGGGGTAAGGAAGAAATTTGTGAGACACTAGACCATTGAGCTAGGAGCATGTCAGCATATTCTGCAGGAGTATGATGAAGCTGAACTGGGGCTGAAGGTTTGGTAATGTTTTTAATTTTGTTCCACATTTCTGATAATGTTGTAGTTCTATTGATACCTTGTAGGAATTGTTCCCAATATGTGTTCTTAACTTGACCCTTAAGCTCGCGAAAATCTCTGTTGGCATTAAGGAATGCAAGTAAATTGTCAGCTGTTTTGTCTCGTTTATAAGAGTCAGCAAGCTGAAGCACTTTAGCTCGCTCTGCAATAATAATAGGATCCTCTGTCCATGAGGAAGAACGAGTGTTCTTTTTTTTCCTTGATTTAACCCAGGTATCATAATAACTGGTAATGATACTGACAAGATCATTGTAAAAGTGGTCCACTGATACAGGTGTATACCCAGTGTACCACTTATGTACATAAGCCTTAAAGTGCTGTTTAAGATTGTCTGGAATGTTAATTTTAACTCTAGGATGAGGATTGGACCTAATATCCGCCACATTGTATTCACAATATATTGCAAAATGATCACTTACTAGTTCTGGGATGAGCTTAACGTTGACGTTGCTATCTACTAGGCTGTATCCAATCACATAATCCAGTCTACCCCCCAATAAATGGGTCTGTTTATCAGTATCATACACAGTAATATTATGATCATTAAGGTATTTCAAGAAGACCCTTCCATTATTGTTACACTGAACGTCACCAAGAGCAGTGTGACGAGCATTAAAGTCACCCATACATAACATAGCTGTGTTACCTGTAGGTTTCGGTAGCAGGTCTGCTTTAAGTACATTACATCGTCCATATATGTTATACAGTAGGAAATGGCTATTTGCAGTTTGCAATTTGAATTTTTGATAATGTATACTATCACTCCTATGATTTTTAATTAGTTTACAGATTAATCCACTCTTAATATACGTTAGTAAACCAGTTCCAATACTGTTGTTGTATGCTATATACCCAGGTATCCTGGGTGGGACCTTCTTGATAGTTGTGGACGTATATGGTTCCTGTAAACAGATCACATCTACGTCTCTCATTTTAGCATACAAGATTACGTCATTTATCCGAAGATAAACACTTCGAATATTCCAAGAAAGAAACTTAATTGTTTTTGTTTGATGAGCCATGGTTAAGTGTCAAGGGAATTAAGGTAACATTTAAGTTCGTAAAACACTTGGAGAACATAAGTAATTTTGTTCCGTGTGTCCTGAGTACTTTTGTTTAGGAGGCGTTTAACCTGAGTAGGAGTTGGTGTTCTCCTAAAGTCTTTATTTTTAAGCAAATCAAGGGTGTCTTGACGATCTAGTTGGGGTGCCAGTGAGGGATCAATGACTACTCTAACACCATTCCCCACGGGGATTTGACACTCACGTTCCGTAGAGACAGGTGAAGTAGCCTCAGCAGCTGCAACATTACCACTCGCATCACTACTGGTGCTGGGAGAATTTACTTGATCACTATCGCTAGCATGATTCACTTCACTATCACCGGGCAGATTCATCACTAATGTTTGTATTTTAGCTTCCAATTCCATAATTTTATTTTTTAACCAGTTAATTTCTTCTGTATCTTTGCTTGTTTGCCTTAGCCCATCGAGGGTTGGAAACTGCTTACTAGAGGTGACATTAGGAGCTTCCAGCTGGGTGCCTCCTGCAGCTGGACCAGACGCCTCTGGCGTCCTGCTCATGGTAGAGAGGGCGGGGCGTCGAGGGCAGTCACGATGCCAAACATCTACACCTTGACGCATACACCTGGGACACTTCCGGACCAGAGGAGAGGCTTCCTCCCCATCCTCAAGGGTAGGGGGGTCCCTGTGAGGACACTCCCTTGTTTGGTGCTGTTCAGCACAGAGCCCACACACAGGGTCATGTTGACAGTACCTAGAGATATGATGAGTACCATGGCACTTATAACAAACAACAGGGGGGGATACCCAAGGTTTTATAGGACTTGATGGGATGAAATGTCCAAAAAAGGTGTAATGTTCAGGGGGAGGGTCACTGCCATTCCAAACAATGATGATCCTGTTGAGAGGTTGACCATCCTTATGTATCCGTCTTGCCTTGTAGACCCCGTCAAGGGTATAAGCTCTATCAAGAGGATACTCTTTGGGAAAACTGGTAACAATATATTCCTTAAGTTTTTTAGGTCGATTGATGATGTCTTCTCTGGTGAAAACAATATTAGCAATCTCACCTTTAACCAGTTGAGTGATGATATCTTCCTGCTTACGTGACACAAAGATGTAAGGGGATGTTGGTCTAGGTCGGACTATATCGAGGAGTGTTTTGGAGAACCTAGTAGAAAGTTGTTCGAACCATTTAAGTTTATCGTTGGTGGATGTTCCAGCTGGGAATGCCAGGCGCACATAGTCAGCGCGGGGAGCAATAGGAGGCTTGGGTGGGCGGGCCCCTGGCTGGGTGGGCCCACCACCGCCCACCTCCACCGTCTTCACACGGGTTCCGGTGTTTCTGTCATCATTGCCAATGTCCTCATCGCCATCAGCAGAGTCTGCAAGTTTAGACTTTCTTCTCGCATTCCGTGATTGTTGCAACTGCCACTCATTTCCGTTATCCAGATCAGCATCGGGTTCCATGTCATCGGGTGACTGCAACCCACTTCGAGCATCAACATATTCCTCGGCGGCGGGCTCAGGATCCATTGCTTGGAGATCACTTGGATTAGCAAGCACAACAGAAGATAGGGTGGTACTGAGCCCGGTTGCCATAACAACGGGCCAGGAGGCGCAGCACAGGGTAGCTGCCCAGGGCTCCACCACTCGCCCAGGCTAGGACACTGTCACCCACCTCATGTAAACACACCACCAGTCGCGCACACAAACCACGACCCTGGGAAGGAGGGCCCAAGGACTATTTTACACACGAGGGGAGCGTGGGGCCAGGTACACCACAAGGCGGCCCAGTGCCGTCCCACTGTACCTCTGGGTAGACTCCAGATACCGCCTCACAAATAATGTCTGCATGAAGTTCTATACAATCCAGCTATCCACAACCTACAACAGTTGGTAGTAAAGGTGTCGCACACTTAGTACCGCTGCACCTGAACGATTGGGCACGCTAAAGGCTCAATGTTAGGACTAGGCCTGTGTTAAACCGGACGAGGGGCACATCCTGACCAGCCAGTCCCGAGGCTACGGGAGAACTCATATCAAAAAGTTTTAAGGCCTTGACAATATTCTCAAACCCAGAGAAATATGGTAAACATAACACATTCTTTGGGCGTTTTTTTTTCTCTGCATTTATTATTATAATATGTACGACGTGCTTTGCTACGGCAAACTTCCAAAAAATTCAGTGGGTATTATTATTTATTATTCCAGTCTGGGCCTCCTTCTGTTTGGTGGGGGATTGTAGATTATCAAGATCACAATCCTCTTCCCATCACGTGTCAGAATCCCAGGTGTGGAGCTTGTTTCCATTAGTCCCCCGATTCTTGAGTTCCTCAAATTGCCATTTCTGCTTTATGAGGAGTCCCACTCCTCCTCCCTGTCTGTCCTTTCTCTCATTATCACTTGGTATCCCTCTTGGAATATTGCATCCGAGATCTTATAATTTCTTAGTTTCCACTATTGCAATTATATCTGGATTTGCTTCACTAACCATTTCTTTAATTTCATCTGCTTTATTGGATACCCCATCATTGGCAAGTGGAGAAGATGTCATGAAACACAGTAATAAAATGTATAAAAACCTTTTAATGATAAACACACATTCACATAAGGTCAGTAAAATGAAAAATAAGTTAAACCTTGGCAACTCCCTCCTGAATTATTGTCATACGGCAACACCACCCGGTGCTCATCTTCACGGTAAAACTGATAACTTCTTAAGGCATAATTGAACTGATTATAACCAGTCAGATGGTAAATAAATACTAGCCCAGTCAATTTACTATGGACCTTACCTTGCGGTTACCTTGCGATGATTTTTAGGGCTCTGCGTTCTCAGTGCCCGGTCCTCGACCAGGCCTCCTGGTTGCTGGACTGGTCAACCAGCCTGACATATGAATCACAGCCTCGTTGATCAGGTATCCTTTGGAGGTGTTTATCAAGTTCTCTCTTGAACACTGTGAGGGGTCGGCCAGTTATACCCCTATGTGTAGTTAAACAGTCTCGGGCCTCTGATGTTGATAGTTCTCCTCGGCGTACTCTCGTGAGTACTAAGAACTGAAAACAAATACTGAAAGTAGGGCTTCTTTATCCAGTAATTCTTATTGAAATTAACGTCGATTTGTTCCCACAGTTATAAATGCACTACTTTGTACAGCCTATCACAAGGGGGGGGGAGATGCTATACCTTATAAACCAGTTGACTTCTCTCAGGTTCAGTAGTCTGTTGTTGGCTGGTGACCACCCAGTGTTGTCACTCTGCTTTAGTATACACAACACAATTGATGTAATTATTTTTAGACAAGCCCCAAAAAGGACAAATTAATGTCCTAGAGGTGGCACAGGACGTCTGGCAACCCCTGGGGGCCGCCTCCGTCTCAATGGCTGGGAACGGCTACTGGTGGCCAGTGTGGCCAGGGGGCGTCCCATGTTTTGTTAGTGTTGACACGTTCATTAACTTTCGTGATGTTATAAGCGCTCACTGTGACCTCAAACGCACATGAAAATCATTACACAAATAGTTAAAATAGGATTGTGTTTTCAAAACCCTAATATGTAAACAAAATATTTATCCATGTTCTTCATCCCGGCACAAATATAAAATGATAGGAAGAACGTTGTGTGCAACTATACCGTGATGGGGGCAGTGCTGTAGTTGATTATTTTTTCCTCGCATGACAGTAATTGGATAGACGATATCGCTTGTAACTGGGTTTAATCTGTGGCTTCTTCGTAAACATCGACATAAAAGAAAGCACAAACTGAAATAGTAGAACCAAATGGTTTTGATATAGGAATTTTGGTATAAGCGGTGATGTTGACAATGTGGCTGTAGATCCTCTCGCCATGGGTCGCTGCTCTGCTCTACTGTTGGCCCCCCACCACCACCACCACCACCACCACACCACCGCCACCACACCACCACCACCACCACCACCACCACCACCCTTGACCACCACCATCATTAGATAATTCCTAGATGAACCACCACCACCACCACCACCACGTACGTTCACCACTAATCCACTAATCCTATGAATACACATGTTAATCCACACACCACCACACCACCACCACCCTGGGCTCGGCTGGCTGACGAATGGGATGGATTAACATACCCCACCACCACTACTGAATCTCTATATTAAAGAATTTAAGAGTTACAGGTGATAATAAGTAATCACCTGTGGTTTGGTGTTACCACACCACTGCAAGGTTGTTCACGCCTCACACTTTCATCCACACCACACGTGTACTGGCTTGGTCCTCCTCACCACCACCACCACACCACACCACACACACACCACACCACACCACACCACACCACCGTCGGATGACCACCACCACCACCACTTGCTACAATAATTAGTAGAGTTAGTAATAATTAATGAGAATACACCACCACACACCCCACCACCACACCACCACCACCACCACCACCACCACCACCACCACCACCACCACCACCACCACCACCACCACCCACCACCACCACCACCACCACACCACACCACACCACCACCACACTACCACCACCACACCACACCACCACCACCACACCACACCACCACCACCACACTACCACCACCACCACCACCCCCCCCACCACACTACCACCACCACCACCACCACCACCACACCACCACCACCACACCACACCACCACCACCCCCCCCACCACACTACCACCACCACCACACCACTACCACCCTGTGTCGTCTCCTTCACAACCACCACAGTCTACGGTGACTCCCTAGAACTGGTTAATGTTAGCCTTATAAATGATTGTGTACTTACGGGGGATATTCCTGACAAGGGGAGGATATTAACTTCTATTGCGTCTGAATATCTGTATGTATATATGAATATATCCAATTGGTGTAATTACAAAGAAAAAATAAAAATAGCCTCAAGCTAAAAATTGCATCGATTAATGTTTTTCACACTCAACAATGGCACTTCAATCTAAAACACAAGCTATTATTTATTATAATATTGACATTCAATCACAGCAGTATTCAAAATTATTTATAATACACTAGATAGGAAGAATGATATACAGAGGTGTAACCAGCTTCTCGGTGTACATTCAGGGTTTACTTTAGTCCAGAACGTAGTCCAGGACTAAAGTGTACTTGTGAAGGTTGAGTAACTACTGTGGGTTACCTTATTAGTCCTCAATAGGTTGATAGGCGTCAAGCCCAACACCAAACCCAGCCCTGCGTTGCTCGGGTGGCAGAGGTCACATCTTCACTACAGTGATGATGACGTATGCACACACAATAAACAACCATCTACATTGTGAGTTATTTGAACTACCGGATGTACACACACTAAACCTTGCAACTGTAATCTTCACTACATTCTACCTTCACTGATCATTTTTACTACCCCAGGCAATGCCAGGTGCCCCCATCCACAACCACCACCTTCCCTTCACCTCTCAACCATTTTCGCCAAATGTCTTCTTGATAAACTACATGGAGATAATTGGCATTTAGTCTGGATGGAGTCAGGATGGAGTCTGGAATTTAAGGAGATTGGAAAATGCTGTCATTGGGCATTACATACAAAGGGGTGAAGGTGCATGGGACCTTCCCAGGTGCACCCAAACCTGCCACTGACCATCCTCGAACAAGCACCAGTCACCCTTCAAAGTTTGGCGATGGTAGCCTCAAGCTTGTCACCCAAATTAAGCACACACTTTCTCTTTATTAAAGGTAAATAATTGTAGTGTCACAAATAAGTTTGACTTATTTATAATAGGCACAGAATTTACATCAACATTTTTTATTTACTTCTATGAACTACGTCTGTTCCTGTAGTCACCTGTGAAAAAAGTGGAATATTTTTAAGTCAAACAATGAAATTACAATTATTCATAAATCTTCCTTATTGCCATTTATCTACAATATGCCTTCCCCACTCCAACAGGGCTGTGACCTGTATTACCTAAACTTTCCCAGGACAGGCACCGATTACGACAAAATTTGTGGTAAATGGGAAAATGGCTTTTCAGAATAGTCAAATTTTTAGATCCAGAAGTAGTTTCAAAAGTTTTTTTTTTTATTTTGATAAAAGAAATATACAAAGTATAGCACAATATATACATGACATGAACCTAAGAACAGAACATAACAAAAACATAATCATAAACAGGCATAGAAGAGAACAATGCACAATAAGACTCCAGG